ACCTCACCATTTTCTGTGATAGAGTATTCCACAGTCTCACCACTTTCTGGGTAAAGAAATTTCTCCTCATCTCAATCCTACATGGCCTACCCTGTATCCTTTGACTGTGACCCCCCGATTCTGGACACCCCAGTCATCGGGAACAACCTGTGTTTACCCTGTCTAGTCTCATTAGAATTTCATACGTTTCTATGAGATTGCCCCTCTTCTAAACTCCAGTGACTATATTCCTAAGGAAATCCCACCCTAGGAAAGCACTTCTAAAGTTGAATTACCTTTGTGATGAGGTTAATGTGGCAGCTAAGTTGCACGCAGCAAAATCCCACAAATGATGTTATAGTGACCAGATAAACTGCTTTTATCTGATGGCTCCTCCAACAATACTCAAAACATAATAGCATCCAGGACAAAGCTTTCTGCTTGACTGGCTGTCCATCCACCATGTTCAACACCCACTCACTACATCACCAATGCACAATGGCACCAATGCGTACCAACTACAAGATGCACTGTAGTAACTCGCCAAGATACCTCTGATATCACCTTAAATCCACAATCTGTACTACCTAGAGAGGCAAAGGCAGCAGATGCACCATCACTTGCAAGTTTCCCAAGCAAACTGGATCAAAATCCTCACATTTTTTTCTTTACTGCGCTATGTTTGTCTTTACATCCCAAAGACTGCAGCAGTTCAAAAAGATAGCACATCACCTACTGCATGGTGGTTAGGGATAGACAACATTTATTGACCTAGCTAGTGTCGTGCACATCCCAAGAATTAATAAAAATAATTTCCTGTTCTTGTTGGAGATGGTGCTATGACTGCCAGAGAGGACAGACAGTTCCTTGTTTAGTGTCTCATGTGACATCTGCTCTGACTGCTCCCTTAGATATGCATTGGGACTTCAGCTTAGATTGGTGCACTCGAGGTCTTGATTGGGACTTGAAGCCATAACCTTGTGACTCAACAGGGAGAGCGCTATCAACCAAATACACCCTCGTACAAAACTGACAAAATACCTTCAAAGGATCACAGCTCAAAAATAAACCTGAACTAGGATCTCTGTACCTAGATCATAGAAATTAGAAAAACTATATTTTGTTATTTCAGCATTATTGTTGGTACTGTGAATCACATTTCTCATTTCATCTATTTTATTTGTAAAAACTGAAATCCAGTGGTCTCATCCAAAATGAGAAAATAATTGTTGGCAATCTGAGGGATTACAATGATACGTTACATTATCATGACTTAGTTTACTGCTAAACCTAATATTTGATTAGTTGCATTACAAAGAGCAAAAATTAGCTGAAGATCACAAAACTGCTTTTGTAGTAGTTGATTTAGAAGAATAGGAACAGGGAATCGATCTATCATTTATTTCTTTTTAGGGGCAGTTGGGTCATGTATTGCTACAAGAACATTTTCTGTCTGATAACTTGTTGCCTTTTAAAGGTTCTAAGATTCTTTCCCTTCCTCCTTTCGTGTCCAGTAATGCAACTATTAAACAGCTAACAGGAGGGAACAAAGTTCCACAGATTTCCCCATCCTCAGTGTTGGGGCTGCGCAGTACATCAACACAAAAGACAAGGCCTAAGTCTTTTCATTCATCTTCAGAGAAGTGCTAAATGGATGATCCATCTCAGCCTCTTCCTGAGGACCCCAGCATCATAGCTGACATTATTCAGCCAACTCCGTTCAATTCATGTAATATCAAGGAATAGCTAAAGGTATTAGTTGCTGCAAAGGCTACAGGCCCTGACAACATTCTAGTAAGAGTACTGAAGATTTGTGCTCAAGAACTTGTCATGCCCCTGGCCAAGGGTTTCCAGTGCAGCTATCACTGGTATCTAACCAACAATGTAGAAAACTGTCCAAGTATGTCCTGTCCACAAAAGACTGGACAAATCTGTCCCCATTATTGCTTTAGCAGTCTACTCTCAATCATGTAGGTTAATTTTGACAGTACCTTCCAAACCTCCAGTATCTACCATCTACAAGGACGATGCCAGCAGATGCATAGGAATACCACCATCTGCAAATTCCCCTCCAAGCCCACACCATCCTGACTTAGAACTATGTTCAGTTCAGTTCATTTACTGTAACTGGGACAACATCCTGGAATTCCCTTTCTAACACCACTGTGTGTCTCCCTACATCTAAAGGATCGCAGCGGTTCAAGTCACCACCATTTTCTCAAGGGCAAGTAGAAGTGGGTAATAAATGCTGGCTTGCCAGCAATACCCATTGCCCATAATTATCTCTTTTTAAAAACCCTCACTCTCATTTCCCTGTAATTCTGATTTAGCAGATTTTAAAGGAAAGAACTGTAAAATAACATTTCTACTTTAAAACCTGTAACTTGAAAATAAGACTTCTAAGTTAGATTTTTAAACAGTCCTTTTTAAGGTAGATGTCACAAGAAACAACCATATGTTACTTTGGGCTGATTAAAAGTTATGTTATCTCAGCACTGGTCATCGTGTGAGGTGTTTAGAATTCAATTGGTCCTTGAACAACACAATGGGTCCTTCTATAAGGCGAATTGGAAGCATCTCGGAAGAGGTGGAAAAGGACTGCATTGTAATTAATTTTCTTTGCCTAGTGGAGCATTGGCTTATTTGAAATTAACTTAGCTGCTTTGGGGCTATGATAAAGAATGGCTATTAAGCCATCATGTGCTGGGAAGAAAAAAAATTCAGCCCCCAAAGTTTGAAGTCAGGATGCTGTGTGACTTGGTGGGGAACTCTTAGGTGATGTTCGCATGTTACTGCTAAATGTTGGTTTGGAAGATGCAAAGGAGCCTTAATGAATTGCTGCATTTTGTCTTGCAGATAATTTCTGCCACTATACACAGTGGTGGAGGAAGTGACTATATAATAGGGTATATAATTGGGCAGGTCAGATCCCAGAATGAAACCTGTTTTAATGGATCAAAAGTTTAATTTCTGCAGTTGATAACCATGGTGGTTAATCACTGAATATATTCACACAAAGCTGTTAATAAAAGAATGCAAGTTTATTACACAAAGAAGAACAAATCAAACTATATATGTCAATTTAGAAAGATTGTAATATAAACAGCAAAACAAAGTTTCAAACTTTTCCCAGCAATTTCCATTACTCAGTACCAGTTAAGTGTCATTCCTATTTCAATGCTTTAACTTCTTACTTAACTGCACTTTCCAATCTTAGTGGCTGAGAGACTTTGTTCCAGTTATATACAATCATACAAACAAGGAACACGAGTAGATCACTTGGCCCTTTTAGTCTGTTCCGCCATTTCATAAGATGATGGATCTGATTTTAACCTTGTCTACATTCCTGCATACTCCTTATGATATTTAATCTGTGGTAATCAAGAATCTATCTACCTCTGCCTTAAAAATATCTAAAGTTCTGATGAACTAAACCTCTATTTAGTTCTGATAGTTTGAAAATTTCAACACAAACTGTCATTTTGGAGTCCTTACAAAGTAAATCCCTTCTGCTAGGATGAAGCTGATCTCCTGGACTGGAAATGAAGTCTTTCATTTACTTTTCCAAGACTTTTTGACCTCTTTAAAAAAAAAATCACCTTCACAGAACTGAAACCACACATCTATTTTATCTCTACATTAAGATCCAAATTCCTAAATCTTATTATACACCTTATCAAATTTTGGATAAGGTCAATCACATCTACTGCTTTATCCTGGATGTTGTTGAAACAGCAGTCATTCAAAAAAATCCTAAGTGCTGTATCACACTCCTGACTTGTGCCTTATAAATAGTAGGCACATTTTGGGGAATAACAAAGTGAATATTTGCCATAGAATTCCCAGCCTGTTTTTGTAGGCACCATATTTACAGTCAATGGGAACACCTAGGATGTGTTGGATGGGAATTCATGGTTATATTTACCTTGTCATTGCCTGGCACTTGAGTGGCATGAACATTGCTTATCATTTCCAAAGGCTTAAATTTTGTCTATACTTGCTGTATCTAGACATGGACTACTTAATCATCTGAATTGAGTTGTAGTGTACAGTGCAATCATCATTGAATATTTCCACTGGCATCTAAAATACATATTGTTAGGATCCTCACTGATTTTTTTCACTTTATTTATTCTTTTATCAACACTTTGTGCATTGCAGTGAATAAAATTTAAAATGATCTTACTGGATCAGTGGGTGTTGCGTGTATGGAATGAGCTGCCAGAGGAAGTGATGGCGGCTGGTCCGATTACAACATTTAAAAGGCATCTGGATGGGTATATGAATAGGAAGGGTTTAGAGAGATATGTGGCACATGGGACTAGATTAATTTAGGATATCTGGTCGGCATAGACAAGTTGGACTGAAGGGTCTGTTTCAATGCTGTACAGCTCAATGACTCTATGTGAAATGATTTGAAACTCCCTGAGCTTCTGAAATGCCCTAGTTAAATGCAAGTTGTTTTCTTTTTTCCCTAAAGGATATTAGTAAACTTGTGGAGTTTTGACAGGAATCTGACAGCTTTTATTGGATCACTTTCTGGTACGAGACCACTAATTGATCATGTTGAAGCAGTTTAGATTTAAAAGTTGAGGAAGCTGGTGGCATGGTGGTAATGTGACTGGACTAGTGGCGAGAATCCCAGTCTAATGTTCTGGGAACATGGATCTGAATCCCACCCTGGCTGGTGGTGTGATTTAAATTCACTTTTTAAAAATCTGGAATCTAAAGTAGTGGTGACCGTGCAACCACTATTCATCGTTGTAAAAATGCATCTGATTAGCTTGTGACCTTCATGATGGAAATTTGCTATCCTTATGAAGTCTGGCACACATGTGACTCCAATCTTACAGCAATGATGGTGACTCTTAACTGCCTCCAGGCAATAAATGCTAGCCTAGCCAGTGGTGCCCATATCACATTGAAAAAAAGAATGCTAGGTTGTTACGACAACCATTACAACATTTAATCAAGTCATTGCCATTAATCAAGTCTCCACAGATACTGCCCAACTCAATATATTCAGCATTTTCTGTTTTTATTTTAGATTTTCAGCATCTGCAATTTTTTGCTTTTACCCAAAATTATATAATTGGAAAGTTGTAACCAGTTTGTAATATGACAATTATTAATGAAATTGCTGATTAGCAACAGGACTCAGCTAGAATTATACTTTACTTAATGATTTTCTCAAGTTGGCCTCCCAAGGCATTTGTAGCTAATGAATAGAAAGGAAACAAGTGTAAATAAATTACCAAAATTATACCTTTAATTTAAAGTCAATGTTCTTTGCTTCAAATTTCATAGTCTTTAATTAATATTCAGTCAACTAAATGAATTGCCCAAATGTAAACAATCGGGATTCGGTCCCAAATGTGGCTAAACAATACTAATCTCTTTGTACATTAGAATGTTTTAAATAGAATGTTTAATAAGTCTGTACAACAGAAAATACAGCATTTACTTATCTTGCTCTACAGTTAAGAGATTTACAGCTTAAGTATGAATATAGCAGGAGTAACTATACAAAACTGTAAAACTGAAAATTAGCCTTCCTTGACAGTATAAGTTAGAATATAAATCGATTCAATGAATCAGTACATGATAAATAATTGTTCGTTTGTGTCGTTTTTTAATATTTAAACATGGCCTTGAACACTTTGATGTGACTCTTAGTGGGCTGTTGATACTGATGTTCTAGTTGCATTCACTGCTTTGGATTTTCAGGACCAAACTGCAGCTTTGTCTTCATGGTGGTCATTGTGTTAGTACATTGTCAGGAATTTTTAAGAAGCCAGTCCCAATAAAAAGCCTCCAACAAAGCCACTGGCAAGCACGATATTCTTCTTTACAAATTCAGCTGACTGTGTGGGGAAAAAATGTTCACCAGTCAAGTGATACAACTTAAAACCTAGACATTTGCTGATAAATATGCATCATATTCACAATTTTATGACTACGAGATATGAACAAAGAACAAGAGTAGACCACTTGAGTCTGTTTCACCACTCATTAAGATTGGGCTGATCTGATTTTAACCTCAAGTCTACATTTCTATGTATCCCTGGTAATCTTTCACCCCTTGGTAAACAAGAATCTAAAAGTAAAAATATCTTGAGGAAAGGAATTGTTTCCTCATCACTATTCTCAATGTAGCTCAGTTTATAACTGCAAGAGGCAAAATACTTTGGGAGGGCATATAAGAGAAACAGGATATGGATTTAAAATGTTTGCACAGAAAATTTCTAGTTCACAATTGTGGTAGCTTTTTGCTCAAGTCCTATTCAGAATGAAATCAATAATTCCTTTTAAGTGCAATTCTTTAGAAAAGGGGTTACCAAGAACCATCTCCTGAATGGTTCTGCAGTTTGGTACTAAATGTGGGTTTCCTCCGGGTGCTCCAGTTTCCTCCCACAGTCCAAAGATGTGCAGGCTAGGTGAATTTGCCATGCTAAATTGCCCATAAAGCTTTCAGGGATGTGTAGATTATGTGGGTTATAGGGGGATGGGTCTGGGTGGGATGTCTGAGGGTCAGTGTGGCCTTGTTGGGCCGAAGGGCCTGTTTCTACACTGTAGGGATTCTATGATTCTTACAGTTCAACAAAATACCAAGTTTGATTCTTGGTCTGTGTTGAATTTCAGTGAGGAAAATTATGTAGGAGCTACACATGAGTTAAGCTATGGGTTCAACCTCATGTCTTTTGAAGCTGGCATTTTTCATTTGAAATGACATAGACTGAGGGTTGGAGGAACAAATAAATTAGAGACGTCTACCACTTCTTTCCATTGAAATAATATTGATTTGGACCCACCTGCAATCCTCCCCACGTCAGTCCAATAGCCCAGCAACACTAAATAGCAGCAGCCATAGTAACCTCATCATGTGGAATGAACATTACGACAAGATACTGGAAGGCTGCCAACAGCTGTGAAAGTGTACTTTATAGAAGTCTGGAAATTATCAGAAGGTTGGAAGAGAATTCTGTGGGCAAAATACTGCCAATCTATACATAAAATACCGCACTTACAACAGAAGATTTCAAGTGCATTTTTCTCACCTCTTCAATAAAGGTGTTGATTTCAGGAGCAGCTTTATTTGCTTTCTTTCTCAATTGTCGTTTTGCTTTATTCACGTCTTTTTCAACTCTTTTCCAATCCACTTTAATATAGCCGCTGTGATTTGCAACCTGAGAGAAAAATATACCTTAATGAGTAAAGGTATGAGTTTTTTTTTTGCAGTACCTAGTATTTGTAAGTGAGTTCTACAAATTTTTCAGCTGTCACAGAAAAATGGATTCCCTCATAAGAGCAACTTCACACCTATGGAACAGTGTGACACTGAAGCAGCAAATCATGCTGTATGAGGAAAATATAAAACTGGAGGACTTTTGTAGAACTTTCATTGATAATTCAAATTTATCAGATTCAAATTATATAAAATTTATGCAGTTGGACTTGCAAAAGAGTTTATTCTTGTTCATAAATGTTTTAATTTCTAAATAATTGAACAAAGATGCTGAATTTGTGAAGCAATCTATGCAATCACAAGTCTTGTTTGTTTCAATGTGCTACTTGTTTGCAGTCCCTTTGACCAACTGGACTACAGAATCAAATCAAGACTGTTGTCCTGCTAACCATATCCGATAATAGATATGGAATTAAGATATAGAAATATGCCCTCCTGACTTTAATGCTGAACTCATTCCTATTCTTTACTGTCTGTTTCTCTTTGCTACCAAGATATATGCTTGAGCTCAGATGTTTCACATTGACATTTTACCATGTGAGACAGAGTGTGCAAGGGAATGCCAGTGCAAGGAACAAGGTGGTGGCTACCTTCTTCTGGAAAAGTACATGAGAAGAGGAGTTTCTTCCACAGTTCTTCTTCTAGTTGCCCATCTCAGAGCCGTGTGGAATAAATGAATGGCTCATGCTTGCCCAGAATCAGTATGCTACAGCATGTCTATCCCAACATCGGATGCTACAGATGATTCCAAAGAACAATTTTATGCCAACCTCAAATAGCACTTGCCTGAGTCCCAAAAGGTGACAAGTGAGTTGGAATGGACACAGACCACTAGGAAGATGTACTTGGCAGAGAGGGGTTAAGGAAATCCAACAGCCATGATGTCCTGTGCCTGATCAACTGCTTTATCATAATCAAAATCACATTTCTGCCAAAGGGGCAAGTAAAAGACCTTGTTGCAACACCTTTGTTCCAAGCACTACTGCCTATTTGACTACCTCATTTAAGTGAAGGACTGTAAGGATGTTTGTTTTGTCTGCACCATAACAGGTGCCAACAACTGCTGGACAGACCACTGCCTAATTTTCTCTGTAGGCAACATCAATGTTGCCCCAGTACAATGACAACAGAAGAAGTAATGTCTCATGCTTACGCAGTAAAAGACCCTGATGAAATCCAAATCAGCCGGCACTTCACTATCAACCTAACGACTCGCGGTGACATAGAGATAGTGTGCACAGTCTGCCTTCAAGGCCTCCATAATCAATACCTGGAAAGAGGTTTATCATTTCTCAACCAGGAAACACCATGTCTAGTTTAACCAGGAAATCCAGGAGCTGATAGGCCACATGTGCAAAGCACTTCTGAATGCAAAATAGCAATCAACTTGAGAACAGGGAAGTAGCTGAAGACTGAGGTCCAGGAGAAAAACTGGCAACCTAAAGAACAGATGGTGGATAGCGAGTGCAGGAGATCCAGTGATTAGCCAACAATCATGATATACAAGGTTTCTTTAGCACAATCAAGACTACGGTTCACGTTCCTGAGATCGTACTCCGCAATTTGCCAGGAGTGAAGAGGTGCTCAAAGGCCTAACCTGGAATGACCACTTTAATGACTTCCTTAACAGTGTTCGTCGTCAATGTGAGTGTCCTCAATTGCATCCATAGCATGCAAACCCACCGCTATCTCAACACAATCTCAAACTGGTATGTGGTAGAAAAGGCCATTTGTCAGCTAAAGAACCAATGTCAGGAGCAACGGGAATTCTGATGAAGCACTCAAATATGATGGACAAACACTAATGGCATGAGGAAATCGCAGATTTGGCATAATTGTGACCATCTTTATTAAACGTAGCAGGCTTGACTACGGGAACTACAGAACAATTTCCTGGCGGTTGGCCACAAGGCTAGTTTTATTGCGAGAATTCTCAATTGCCTTCTGCTTATGGCTGAAGAGCTCTTCCCAGAGTTGCAATGTAGAATCTGCCCTCTGAAGGACCCAATGCACATGAATTTCCAATGCCCAGCAACTACAAGAGAAATATAGGAAACAGCACCTTCCACACTCACTAAGGCCTTTGGCAGTCAATCATGAGGGATTATGAAGCATTGTCCTCTGCTTTGACTGTTCTCAAAAGTCTGTCACCATCCACTACTTGTTCCACGATGACACGCAAGCTGTGATTCTAAGCAACGGATCCAAACACTTTAGGACTAGGGACAAGCAATCATCACCCTCTTACTTTTCTTGACTTTTCTTGCTGCAATACTCCATCTTGTCCTCAGCAAGCTCCCTGCAGGAGTGCAGCTAATCTACAGAATAAACTCCACTAACCATATAATTCTTGTGTTAGCACAAACTTAGAGGCTGAGCTCCAAGCCATTGAAAATACTTTCACTAAGGCATATTACAGCATGCGCCTTATAGTAAACACTTGTAAGGCATAGGTCCTCTCCAAACATCCTTAAAATGTAGACCATTTCTACATCTTTGTAGCCTGCAGTCAATATAAGCTTTGTTGACGATAGGGTTCAAGACTGCCTTCAGTGTGCCAGTGCAGCCTTTGCTCGCCTGAGTGTGTGTTTTGGAAGTCCAGGATCTCATACCTGGCAATCAGGCTCATGGTCCACAGAGCAGTAATGACACCCATCATCCTAATTGGCTCAGAGAGGTACCTCAAGACCCTGGAGAAGTACCATCAGTACTGCATCAGCAAGATAAAGCTAATCCATTGGCAGGATAGGTGCACTAAAATCGGTGTTCTTGCTCAGACTGACATCCACAACATCAAAGCACTAATCACATTCACTTAGTTTCAGAGAGCAAGCCATAGCTTCAGGTATACCCTCAAAGCCTACTTGCAACGTGTAAAACACCCATTTGACATTTGGAAAACCACAGTCGAAAGACTGCTTGAAATAGAAGGGAAACATTTTAGGTATGCTCTGTACACCTCAAAGTCTCATTATTGATGGCAGACTGATGTTAAGCATTGACAGAGAAAGGAGCAGGACACAACCCTGACATCCACCTTCCCATTGATCCAACCACCATCTACCCTATCTGGGACAGAGACAATAGGTCATGCACTGGGCTCTTCTGTCTCCCGAGAATTTATTTTTAGTGTAGAAGCGAGTTACCCTCTATCATGAATGATGAGAAAACGTGAAGGAGGAGATGAAGACGAAGCTACGTAACCTAACAATTGTTTAGGCAAGCCTATGTAACTTGAAATAAGAACAGAAAATGCTGAAAATACAAAAGTCAGGCAGTATTTATGGAATTAGAATTAATTAATATTTCAAGATAATGACTTTACTTCAGAATGAAAAAAAAAAACAGCTGTGACAGATTTTAAGCAAGTACTGGGGAAGGAGATGAAGGAAAGAATTAAATGGAAAGTTATAATAGAGTGGAGGTAGGGAGAGAATGGACATGGTCAGGAGCCCTGTCACGTGCAGTGAGGTTGGTTGATCGAAGAGCAAGCACTGCCATGGAATACAGCATAGTCAGAACACAGCATTTACACTTTGTTGTTTTTATTTCAGATTTCTAACATCTGCATCTTTTTGCTGAAAAAAACTTTAGGCCACATTTGAAGTATTGTTTGCAGTCCTGGTTGCCACACTATAGGAAGGATGTGGAGGGTTTGGAGAGGGTGCAAAAGAGGTTTATCAGGATGTTGGCTGGATTAGAGTGAATCCATAAGGAGAGGTTGGAGAAACTTGGATTGTTTTTACTAGAACAGAGGCTGAGGGACAACTTGATAGAAGCATTTAAAATTATGACAGGCATGGATAAGGTGGATAGTTGGACTCCTTATTTTTTTGCAGGGTGGAAATGTAAAATACAAGGTGGCATAGGTTTAAAATGAGAGGGGGAAAATTTAAAAGAAATGTGAGGCAAGAGTTACAAGTGCTTGGAACATGCTGCCGGGGAGGTGGTAGAATTAGATACGACAGCAATTTTTGAGGCATTTAGACTGACAGATGAACAGGCAGGGAATAGGGGGATATGGATCATGTACAGGCAGATGAGATTAGTTTAGAATGGCATCATGTTTGGCACAGACCTCGTGGGCTGAAGGGCCTGTTCTTGTGCTGTACAGTTGTGTTCTATTTTGTAAGTTACTTGAGATGTGTCCATTCCTTTACATATTTCTCTTACCATTTCAGACTGAAGTTCATCATTCCTATTTCTAATTTTCCTTTAACACATTGTCATCATGCCTTTTCGATTCTCCGCTCAAGTAGTTTCTCTTGGCAAGTTCATTCCCTAACCTCTTAGCACTCCTCAACCTTCCTACTTAACTGGAACTTTCCTAGGCTCGACTCCATCTTGAAAAACTGGACATTTTCCCCACTGTGCCCCCCTTGGCAAGCTCTGAAAGGCCCATCAAAGCACTCATTACAGTCTCCTTTAGGAGCATAATCTTATCTTATTCTAGCAGCAATCTTCCTATCTAGTGTGCCTGCTGAGGGGGTAATCTTGCCAAATTTTTGAAGATTCACTCGAGGGAGTTGGGTATCATAGACTGGTCCAGTATTTGTTGCCCTTGAGAATGCAGTGATGAATTACCTTCTTGAACTGCTACAGTCCATACGCTGTATGTGGACTCCCAGTGCCTTTAGAAGAAATTTCAGGATATTGATCCAATGACATTGAAGGAATGGTATTGTTTCCAGATCAGAAAGGTGAGTGACTTGGAGGGGAATCCTTTAAGAGGTGGTATTCTGTTGCAGTTGTTCCTCTTGATGGTAGGAGATGTGTGAGGCAAGGGTTGTAGATGCCTGGAACATGCTACCAGGGGAGGTGCCTCCTTTGGAACATGCCTCCTACTGATCTTTGATGGATCTTTTCCTTAAACTTGCTCCTTCCAGTGCTGACTCTATTTACTTTGCCAATTAATCAACTTCCTGTCTCCCTTCAAAATATCACGTCCTTGACTTCCAATTGCTCCCTGTGGATAATTTCATCGACATCTTGGCTTTGAAGGAATCTGGGCTAAGGGATTTAATGTCTGTTCCCTAAGTGAAAGATGCCCCTTGTGACTATATGTTCCATCACTTACCATTCCCTGCCCAAACTGTTGGCATGCTGGTGCAGCTTTTAACATCAAATTACATAATCTTGATGTGTCTCCTATTTCTCTGGAACACACTACTTGTGAACATTTCATAATATTTTACCCTGCTGCCTCATTGAAAATCCTTATTTGCAATGTGAACTCAGGTACCATTAAAGTGTTTCTCATTGAGATATTGTAAATGTTTTTTTCCCCAAGGTTCTGTATTAAAAATGTCTTATCCACAGTAATTCAACCTCCATCTCATTGATGTTCTCTTTTTTGAGTTAACTGCCCTCTTATCCTTTTTCAATCTCCCCCCACTTCCATTTGAACGTCCCAGTTCATATTCATAGCCTTGATCTTGTCATCTCATATGCCCATGCTATCAATCACAAGACCATCTCTTATGATTTTTCAGTATCACTCACATCCACATGTGCATTTCAACACTACCTCCTTTTGAACCAGTCCCTGTGAATAAACCACTCTCCTAACTCACAACTTACGACTTTCCATTCATCACAACAGCTTTGCAATTATTGATCTCCTCAATCATATCCTTGATGCCATTATTTACATTGAAACCATTACTTTCTTCAATCCTCGCCATTCTGATATTACAGCCCTCACCTCTGGAAAATGCAGGCTTGAATGGATATGGTGGGTAAAACAATCTTCTAGCTGACCTCTTTGTGTATCCACCTTCAACAGGAGTGAGGAGCTCAAGGGCACCACTATTACCCACTGATGGTGAAAAAATACAATGACTTTTATCATCTTATCTGCACATTTACAGTTGTTCAAATTATAACTAGACTTAAGAAAGCATCTAAATAATTGTATGGAATCATAGCAAAATTGTATCCATAGGATTCCAAAAAGTATAAATTATTTGCTGTTACAGCTCAAATTATACCAGAATATGGCAAACAGTAAAGTACAACAAACAGTAGTAAGTCCAAATAAACATTAATTTGGTCAGTCAAGAAAGATATGAGTTTGCAAGTGATTAAAACCTACATTTTGCATTCTCCTAATATATTTATTACAAAACTTCAGCAATTGTTGACATCCTCAAGAAACAAGTTTAAAACTGTGGGGTTGAGGGATACTACGGCAGAGTGGCAGTCCTTATCTCTGAGCCAGGAGCTCAGGTTTAAATTCCACTTCCTCCAGAGGGATAAAATAATATTTCTGAACAGATCCATTAGAAAATATCTAAAACCGTGGGGTTAGAAAATGGCAAGTGGGTCTAAGAAATCTGTCTCTTTATGATGCAACGGAACGTTATTTTTACTATTTTTGTCAGCGTCGGGGCAATTTAGTCTCAGTTGATGTTAAGACACTGGCTATATGTCTACTCTTTCTAAAGATTTGCTTCCTATTGTGAGTCACCACCCATTGGGAGCATTAGATTGTAATTTGCCCATATTCCTCAATCCCTTCTCAGTCCAGATGGACCTCTCATTATTTCTTGAACTTATTTAAATTGTGCAACGCTGCTCGTGAAAAATATCTCTTGCTTGAGCTGTTGTATAGTTACACTTCATTGATAAGGCAGTCTACACCACGAACCTCACAATGCTGCAACAATATGGGCAAAATTACCAAGATACATCAAATCAAAATGAATAAAATAAACCTTTTGAAGTTAACAGTAACATTTGGAAACCTATTACCTACATTTTGTTTTCATTCATGGGCATCACTGGGGCAGAATTTATTACCTATCTCTAATTGCCAGAGAGCAATTCAGATCCACAGCAATGTGGTTGAATCTTGAGTCACACATAGGTCAAACCACGTTGAAATGGGTTTTTGTGACAATCGACAGTGAGTACATGGTCACCACTGGCTAGCTTTAAAATTCAGATATTTATTGAGTTTAAATTTCACCATATATCGTTGTGGGTCTCAAAACCACGTCCCCACAACATCAATCTAGGATTCCGGATTACTACTCCAGTGACATTATCACTACACTAATGCCTCTAGATGTACAGGAGCAGTGAAGTCTTGCGCATTTTAAATATATTAGAGAGCCAGCATGATTCACAATATTGTACAAAGTGCAAAAATAATTTTAGTCTTGTTATAATTTCCTGTAAAGTCTTACACTCTGGAAGAATTTTGCTTCTACCTAAATTACTGCTATGAGGTACAAAACTTAACTTGCTTGCCTCCTTCATGACTTGTTCTTGGTACACATGTAAAGAAATAAGCAACTCAATGTGCATGGAATTTTTCTTATCCTTTCAAAGGGATGTTGGTATTGCTGACGAAATCAGCACTTACTGCCCATTTCTAATTGCCTTTGCAAGTGGTGGTGAGCTGCCTTCATGAATTGCTTTAAACCATGGTGGGGGTATAGAGGATCCAGCAATAGTGAAGGAATAGTGATATAGTTCCAGGTCAAGATGGTGTGTGGCTTGGTAAGGAACTTGCAGGTGGTGGTGTTCCCATACATCAACTACGTTTGTTCTCCTAGGCAGGAGAGGTTGCAGGATTGGAATGTGTTATCAAATGAGCCTTGATAAGTTTCCCTTGGGTTGGGAAGTAGAATTTGACAGTTTCAGGATATGGGGTTGATTGCTTAGAACTGAGATGACGAGAAATTTCTTCACACAGAGTTGTGATTTTTTGGAATTTTCTACCAGCTCATCAATGAATATATTTAAAGTTAAGAAAAGTAGATTCTTTTCGTCTCTCTCATACTGCTGGCTTTAAGGCTCTCACACAATTTGTTTCATTTAAATAACACTGCACCCTACTACTGTGAAACTTTTTTGCCACCATTAAAATGTTGAATACCACAAATATTTAAATTAACCTTTATTTACCTGCATCAAAAGGAACCCACCACCAATAGCTGTAGCAGCCAGCTTGCCAATCTTCTTAAACACAAAACCTGCACACCTGAAAAGGAGGAAAGCAGAGCTTAATGTTAACTTTAATTTAGGTCTCCTTCAAAGATACTTATTTGGATAAGTAACATTCCCAGCGCTGGGTTTCCTGGTCTCTTTTCATATTCTCAGACCAATAGTAAAATTGGATTATTTGTTCAATAATCTGTTAAGTCCACTTTGTGCCAAATGCCAACCATGATTTCTTATTTTCGTTACCCACAAGAAAGGTAGATTGCCAGTTGCAATTGGAATCATACACTTTTTAAATGTTTTGTTATTGTGGCCTTAAAACAGAATATTCACAAAATTAATTAAAATATCCATTGTGAACTGTCAGTTCAGCAAGTGTTAGTTTCAAGCCTTTATCTTAAGTCAATTCAGAAACATACAAAAGAACAAAAACTTTATTTTTTGTCTTCAGTTCAAAAGCAGCTAGATATATGAAATGAGAACCTCCTCTCTTTGTTGGCTGTTAGAAAACTGGGTATGAGTTTACCATACTAAACTGTTTATCTCTTACTGATTGTATTTTTGATTAACAGTTTATGGAAATCAGAAATATTTGTACAGCACTCTTTTAGAAGATTGGAGTGGATATATATTTGTGGTACAGTGGATAGAGAGTTTAAATCTGTATATTAACTTTGAGGGAATATCTTAAGTCAAAAATAAAGCAGAAAAGTCTTAAATATCCCGACTGGACATCTTTTAATTTGAGTAAATAATGTACTTATTTGTAACAGACTAAAATGAAAAATTGGAGATTTTAAACATTTCATCAAAAATACACATTATAAGTATATAATATCAGAGCATTATTTAAGAATTATGATAATGACAACAATGTTTAAAAGTAGGTAACTGATATGGTACGCATAACTAAACTAATGGCACAAACCTGGCCCTACTAGTTAGAAAAGCAATATGCATGAATGCATCCCTCCAATAAATTAATGGAAAAATACACTGTTCTTGAAGCAAAATTGAAAACTAGAAGGTATCAGAACCAGCACTCCTGATGTTGTGCACCAAGTAGAACAGTAATTTTTATAGCGGAATGAGAATAATTTTTTAAAATAATCACTCCTGATAACACTAATGACATGATTGCATAAACCCTTGCAGAACAATTTTGTCTGTGTTAAGATGCACAAATCGGAACCAAGTGTATCCCAAACTGCACTTTTTTTTTTCCTTGACCCATACGAGCACTAGCAATCTCAATTGAGGGGACACTTTACTGCAAATTGATACTAGATTAGAGACAGTTTTGTGCCCTGTTCTCAGAAACCAAGTTCATATTACCTAAACAAAAAAAGAAATTGCTGGGAAAACTCAGCAGGTCTGGCAGCATGTGTGGAAAGAAAATAGAGTTAACCTTTTGGGTCCAGTGACCCTTCTTCAAAGCCTTTTCTAGTTCTGAGGAAGGGTCACTGGACTCAAAAGGTAACTCTGTTTTCTCTCCTCAAATGCTGCCGGACCTGCTGAGTTTTCCCAGCAGTTTCTGATTTCCAGTGTTCGCAGTTTTCTGGGTTTTTTTGTTTAATATCATCAAAACTCGTTTCAAGTTGAACCTTAAAACGCAGCAGTTTCAGGAGATTTTCATCCTATCAGTCTGGAATTACGTAGCTAAAAGGACAAGAGCATTGATCCACTAGGCAACCTAAGATTCATTAAAATACAACATTTTATTAAAAGTTACGTGCCTAGAATGTTTTCATTGTTTGACTATGTTTAACATTTTAAAATCCAAGTGATTTTTGACTATATTAAGGAAATGCACTTTCAGTTAATTTATATATTCCAAAGTTTTTGTTTCTTAGCTTTTTCAGAATGTGCATACATGTGGATGGAAAGAAAGAATAATTGTGGAAGTATAAATAACTGTGGCAACATACAATAGAACACACCACTCACCAGCCTGTTACACCACCCATCATTAATTGAGTAGCTACTGAATATTTCTCTGCAACTGGTCCTGAACTCTGTCCGAAAATACGGCCCCACCACTCCTGTCGTCCTGAATACTCCAACAGATCTACAAGTTCATAGGAATCATCATCACTGTTTTGCCCTAAGGAAAGTGAACAGTACAAACAATGGTTTGTTTTTCTAATGTACAACATACAAGTTCTTGTGAGAAATAAGAAGTGTAACAAAGAGGTGTAAAAGGTAGGAATATAGTATCATTTTAGTTAGGTTGATTTACTCCTGATAACTTCTAAATTTCCTTCTTTTACTCCAAAATCAAGTTGAGATTTCTTGATGGCTTAGTGAGTTCACAATGGTTTGATCCTCATCTGTATTAACTAATCTAAGAAAGAGCAAACATTTATACTGCTAGTCTCAGTATTTTTGATTTAAGAAGGAAAGTTTTTCAGGGTCCTGTTCCTAAAGCGACCAATATATACTGTTGATCATGTGCATTGGGAAATGGATCAAGAACACATTCAGATCTGGTAATGTTCCCGAAAGTTGTGATACTATCCTCAATCAAGGAGTTAGCACCTTTAAAGAGAAGCACAAAATAAAACTAAAAACAAGATTGGTGAAAAGAGGATTAAGCTCGGCTATGTTTTCCATAATCGAACAATTTGTCAACATTCACCATCAATATATAAATAATAGCCAAGTCGACAACATGGCCGTGGGCACCAAACATTTACATAAATGTACCATGCAGTTAATTCTAGAGTGGGTTAAAAATTGAAGATAATATTTTAAAATATTATGTCCCACACATTTTCAGAATTTATTAAGCCAGGCAAGAAAATTAAACCATCTTTTTGAGGTTGAAAGTCATAGTTTACAATATATGAATGTACAAGTGCAACAAACAAATTAATAACTATATTTACTTCACTCTGAAAATGACAGACTGCACAGAATGATATGAAAGTAAAACCAAAGTGCTGGGGAAACTCAGCAGGTCTGATACCATCTGCAGAGAGACTAAAACAGTTAATATTTCAAGTCCATTATGACTTCTTCAGAGAGACAATGACTTCTCTGACTTACTATCAACAATCCCTTTTGCCCAGCCATTTTCCTCCCTCTAGGCTCTTTCTCCACCTATCCGCTGACTCCTACCTGTTTCACCACCACCAACACACACACACACCCACACACATCAATCCCATCTTTTCCTAGCTGCTTTCAGTTCTGAAGCGTCACTACACTTGAAACATTAACTCTTTTTTCCCTCCATTGATGCTGCCAGACCTACTGAGTTTCTCCAGCAATTCCTGTCTTCATTTGTTTCAGATCTTCAGCGTCCACAGTTCTTTGTTTTATACTGGTTAAAATCCTTTGGGGCGTTCTTGAGACGTTAAAATTTAGCCTGAGACTGCGGTTGGTTAGGGATGTCCTGGATCGATGACAGCTGTGAATATAGCCAATCTTTGTGCTCTTAGTGTGTTTGGATGTTTCTCTACAATTTGTGTCATCATCAGTGTTTTATCTTTCTAAAGACTGAGTGACAGAGATTTGTTCAGTTTGTTCCAGACACAAATCCTGTTCTGAGGAAAGGTCAACGGACCCGAAACGTTAACTCTTAATTTCTTCTCCACAGATGCTGCCAGACCTGCTGAGCTTTTCCAGCAACTTCTGTTTTTGTTACAAATCCTGCTCTTTTGGTTCTACCAAAAGCAGCTTGTTTGTGTATTCCAAAGTCTGAATCCCTCATTTTCAAGCTGGATAATCGCAGGCATTTTTTGTTATATTTCCAACATTTGAATTTCACTTAAATCAAATAGGAGATATAGGTCTGTTGACAGGTTTAGGTCTTGCTTGATAAAATTTTAATTTTAAGAGTCAGCTGCATTTCTGTGGACCTGGAGTCGCATATAGGCCAGACCAAGTAATGATGGTAACTTACTCTCCAAAGGTCATCAGTGTTTTGTTTTCCTTTTTTAAACTAATTGAGTCCATGGAAATCCCCAGAATTAAACTCAGATGATGAAAATTGATCATTCACATTTTGCAACTATCATAACCACGGTCAGTTTTATAAAGCTTTTACCAGACTGATAAGTTTTGATTGTGTTAAAATATTCAATGAAATAATAACTGGAAATCTTGTATTTAAATCAGTAACACTGTAATAAAGATATTAATCTGACTGCAAATATTTTGCTGGTCTCTGCAACTGTACAGCTAACAATGCATCATGAGTCAGATGTGTACCATCTGTAAGAAATGTTACTGCTCTATTCAAAAAAGCTACATAACAAAAAGAATGTTGCCAGTTTTCCTTCAATATTGAAGTAAGCCATTTCTTGCATTATCTGTTGTGCATTCCAAAGTTGTGATGCAGCCTGATTATAGACCTGCATGGCTTTAAACAGTGTGGGTAAAGATCAAGGATCTGATGTTGTTGGTACTGCCTGATCTTTCCAGCTTACCTTTGCTCTTGGGTCATAGTACTCATTGCTGTTCTAAGGAAACGATGATGACTGTGCTCCCCATGTAGTTTTTTCTTGTGCATTTCAAGGGGTGGGTAGTAGCCCAGGGGTAATGTCAGTAATCAGTAATCCATAGCTTTAGAAGAGTACACTGGGGATATAGGTTTGAATCCCACCGTGGCAGATGGCGAAATTTGAATTATTATTTTTAAATATCTGGAATTCAAAAACTAGTCTAATGGCAACTGTTGTCATAAAAACCCAAATATTTTACTAATATCCTTTAGAGAAGGAAAGCTGCCATCCTTACTTGGTCTGGCCTACATGTGACTCTAGACCCACAAATGTGGCTGACTCTTAACTGTCCTCTGTAATTGCCTATAAAGCCAATCAGTTAAAAGACAACTAAGGGTGGGCAAAAACTGCTGGATTTGCAGTAACCCTCATTTCACCCTCATTTAGAGAAAGGAAGTGCTACGTTTCCTGAGCTTCAACTTCAAGGAGACTTTGAACACTTTGCAGGTGGTACCCACGTTTAAGTTGTGATTACAAATTCAGAGTTTTTACAGCAAATAAGAACACGATTTAACTCAATGTCTGCACCGGCTCTCCAAATGAGCATGTCACTTAGCAGCATTCTTCTGCTTTCTCCCTGTAACCCTACACCTTTGCCCTTTTCAAATAACACTAATTCCCTTTTCAGTGCCTCAGTTAACCCTGCTCAATCATCTGATGGTACATGCCAGACCCTAATTGCTCACTATGTGAATTTTTTTTTAATATAGAAACATAGAAAAAAGGACGAGTAGGCCATTCGCCCTCTAAGTCTCCACTGCAATTCAATATGATCATAGCTGATCATCCAACTCTACTCTGATCCTGTTTTCTTCCCATATCCTTTGATCCCGTTAGCCATAAGAAGGTTGTCGAATTAAAATAAAGCAAAGAACTAATGCTGAAGATCTGAGACAAGAGTAAAAATTGCTACAGAAATTCAGCACCTCTGGCAGGATCCACAGAAAGCAGAATTAATGTTGCAAGTTTTCTTTGCCAATTACTTTAAATCTGTGCCCTCTCCACAATCCTTTCATGAATGGGACCAGTTTCTCCCAATCTATTCTAGCCAGATGGCTCATGATTTTGAATGCCACCAACAGATCTCCTCCAGCCTTCTCTTTTCAAAGGAATACAGTACTTCAACTCATTTGCATACGTGGAATTCTTGATCCCTGAAAAAAATTATGAGATAACTCCACAGAGGCCAGTATCCCATCACAAAGTCACTCATGAAAAGTCCTTGACTCTAGTACTGTGTCCTAAGAATCAGCTCTGAGTGCCAGAATCTGACACTCCTCTTTTCATTTGTCAGCCAGGGCTCCCTGATTGGGGCTGTTAATCTGATCCAATCAGAGAACTCATATTCTGAGGTCCAACTAGCTGACATCATTACAATTGCTACATCTCTTCCTCTGTTGAGTCCTAGGACACAAGCTTGGAGAGCTTCCTGGGGCATTTTAGCACCAACTCAGGTTCCTCTGACTTGGCATCCAATACTGGCATTGTGTAATGCGCAGGAGCTTGCTTCTTGCGCTATGAGCGCCTCAGTAGAATTTCACTTTCTTCTTCCGACAGCATCCGTCATGTCTGATTCAGACAATTTGTCAATGCTTGTTGCAGAGAGTGAAGCCATGGGTTCTGGCAGCTTTTCTGACTCTTCCAAATGGCAGGGCACGTTTGCTGTTGCACTGTTTGCAAATTTGCAGCTTTCGTGCTTGTTCAGGACCATTGCACCTACCCTAACTTCGTAAATCACTAGTCCTGACGCCATGTTGCCCATGCTTCTTACCCATGCAGGGCCATTTCTGTGGTTCTTACACCAGACATTGTTCCCTGTATCAAACTGTCTGTCTCATTTTGCACAGTCTTGTGTCCTGCACAGGAATCCCTAATGCCATTTCACCCTCAGCTCCCCGGTCCAAGAAGATCAGACTTAACCTGGTGTGGAGTCTTCTGTTAGCAACTGTGCCGGTGCTATCCCTGTCATTGCTATAATCAAATAAGAATTGTGACAGCTTGGTATCTGATAAGGCTGTAGGCTGTTTCTTTAAGGCAGCCTTCAAAGTTTGAAGTGCTCTTTCTGCCAGGCCATTGGATGATGGGTGATATGGAGCTATCCTTGTATGTCAAATCCCATTCGACTTTAGGAAATACCCAAATTCGCTGCTGATAACAATGGCCCATCTGCGACCAACTCTTCTGGGACTACCATGTATTGAAAAGATGTGGAGTTTTTCTATCATCATCCTAGTGTTTAATGAATAGATTCTATGCATATAAAACCACTTTGAGTGGGTGTCCATATTGACTAAGAACATTGAGCCCATGAAAGGACCTGCATAGTGGATGTACAACAATCCCACATTTATCCAGCCATTTCCACGGAACTTGGGGTGCTTCTGGCAGTAATTTCTGTCCTTGTTGGGACTCTGGGCAGTGCCCCATCAATGTAGCTATGTCTGCATCTAAGTCTGGCCATTAGACATAATTTCTCACCAAAACCTTCATTTTGGGACACATGGATGGCCCTGGTGGTGTTCAGCCAGTATTTGGCAGCAACCTGTGCTTGGGACAATCACTCTTGCTCCCTATAACAATATGCCGTCCTCTCCTGTGAGCTGGTCTCTCTGGGTCCAAAATGGTTTAAATTCTAGTTGTGATGGCCCTATAGTTTCTCCATCACCAACAGTTGTTTAAGTTTTGACAGGACTGGATCTTTTTGTGTCCAATGTTTGATATTGTCAGCTGTAACTGAAAGTGTGTCCATTCACAATTTCGCCTCCCAGAACGTGTTCCAATTTGTAATTATAAGCACTTAGTATTAGAGCCCACCACTGAATGCCGCCTGAAGCTAAGCTTGGCACTGCCTTGTCCTCTTTAAACAAACTAAGTAGGGGTTTCTAGTCCGTTATTACACAAATTTTTAATCTATAAACGTACTGTTTAATAAGACTCCAAATAAGACTGCCAGTCGCTAGAATTTCCTGGAAGTCTTCTGGGTATTTAATTAGGACTTCACTCAGGCAGCTGTTTTCTAACTGAAAAATGAGGAGCCAATCTAGGTGAATCTCGTGCAACCAATTTCACCCCGTCAATCTTGGCCCAAGAGTTTTACTACAATCACTGGAAACTGACTCAGCTGCTTTTCATAAGAGACCTGAGCTGAAATTGTACCCTTAATCTGTAATGGTTCCCAGGTATAGGTTCTCAGCCTAGCCAAGGTCTTGCACAACCTCAAGAGCTGGAATCCAGAGTGAATTTTGTTAAAAACTGTTCCTTCTTATGCAGCCGTGCCGGTATTGACCGCAATTAGAACCGGATGACCGTTTAACCAGACTTTTATTTTCATTGGTTCTGATTTGGATGTTGCTAAGCAATTTAACTGTTTCAAACCAGATGTAGGTGGACTTTCCAGGGAACCAGGTTGCACCAGGTAGCCAGAGTGAGAATTGAACCTGTACTTTTGGTGTTAGTCTGAACCACATGCTTATCCACTACCACACAGAAAGGCCTGAACAGATGAGCAGCTGTTTCTTTTAAGAAATTCTTTCATAGAATGTGGATGTCATTGGCAAAGCTAATATTAGTTGCCTAGGTCAAAGGGAGTGGTGACCCATCATCTTGAACTGATCACATGGTTAAGGAGAACAAATAAAAAGAAAATGAACAAAAACAGAAGCTGCTGGAAAAGCTCAGCAGGTCTGGCAGCATCTGTGAAGAAAAGATCAGATTTAACGTTTTGGGTCCGTGACCCTTCCTCAGAACCCTTCCTCGTTAATTCTGACTTTTTCTTCACAGATGCTGCCAGATCAGCTGGGCTTTTCCAGCAACTTCTGTTTTTGTTCCTGATTTATAGCATCCACGGTTATTTCGGTTTGTAAAAAGAAAACGAACATCCTCCATAATTCCTTTCATCTCTTACAGTTTTTGAATTTCTGTTACTGACAAAAGAGTACTAAGGATAATATGTACGGTCTATTATCATTAGTTGAAAGGATGGATTATGATCCATGAACCTGTTTGCCCGGGGCTGAATTAGTACCCTTGCCACCAATTCCATTCCTTAATCTGGCCAATGTTTCGTATTGAATAGTAAGGTAATTAACAACTGTAGTAACCTAGTCAATCCCAAAGATGAGCTTCTTCACCCTCGCTGTTGAAATTCCCATCTATGCATCTGTATCATTTGGACTTGAATATTTCAATGCTTTCTGAGAGGTTTTCCCAATCTCCAGGCTCTGAGAATTTCAGATCAACTTTGCTTCCCATATCATTATCCCTCATTAAGTCCATCACACTTTCGTCCTTATTTATCTATAGTGGCTCATAGTAAAAATGTCTCATCTTGTGTCCCATTATGACCTTGCCACTTCCCATTTCTGTAACCTCTTCAACCCTCACAACCACTACCATCTCTCCTCATGCTGCAATTCTTTGCACAGATTCTTCTCCTTATACAAAAAACAAATACTTACATTCTTGCAGCATCTTTCATGAACACTGGACGTCCCAAAAGAAATCAATGAAATCCTTTTCAATTGCTGTCACTGTTCTAACGTGAGAAACACAGCAACCAATTTGTGCATATCAAACTCGCACAGATGTGATAACTACCAGATAATACTTTTGTGATGTTCATTGAAAGATAAATATTGGTCAGGACTATGGGTCATTCCTCTGCTCTTCTTTAAGATTGTGCTGCTGGATCATTTATGCCCACCTCGGGGATGAAAGGGCCTTAGTTAATGTCTCATCTGAAAGATGGCACTTCTGTCACCACAGCAGTCCCTCAATGCAATAGCGCATGAACCTATTTTGACTTGTCTCACTGGATTTGAACTTTCAACGTCTGACTCAAAGGCAGGACAGCTAGTATAACTGAGTCATGGTTGATATAATGCATCACTTATTTTCTTTGCCTAACAACATGCAGGTATGCTTTCAACCATTTGACCCCATGCTTTGGATTTTTTTCCTTTCCAAATATGCCATCAGGAACTTCCATTAAAATTCATTTCTAATCAAGGCTTTCCTAGCTAATATCATCTTTTTTGGGTTAGTGTTAAATTTTATCAAATAATGCTTCCATGGATTGTCAAAACTGGCTGGGCAATGCACTGGAAATCAAGCCCACTGTTCTTAGAGTTGTCAAAAATGTGAAAACATTTAGTCAGAGTGTCCAAAGTTCCTAATTTACCTGCTTTACCTGATTAAAAGAAAACATTCAGCAGATTTCTGTACTTAACAAGAAAGTTACGGTTTATTATGAATAAATTGCCTTTAACTAATGGCACTTAGGGAATAGGAATTGCTAACTTAGAAGTCTATAACATAAATTGTATCCCATATTAGATTCCCCATTTCACAAACAAGCAATCTTATGAAAACAGACAAAACAAAGATATTAAGGGTGACTAAAAAAAGATCAGGGGGACTCATTTTGAGAACACATTTCTGGACCACAGGATGTTATGAGTTGCCCTCTTTGCCTTTCAATTCCTTTTTAATTATTTGCTATTAACATAAGGCTGTTTGCACATTAATTTTGCTATCTGGTTGAGAATTTTTCACTGGTTAAGAATTTATCCATTCCATTTAAGGGCATTTTATTCTTTCTTCAATAGCGAATTTGCAGAGAAAAGTGAGAGGAAGACAGCTAACAGTTACTGGAAACTTTCCAGCACCTCGACTCAATAGCGAGACGGAAATTTTTAAATGCTTTCTCTTTGTGTGCTATGCTAGGTCATTCTCTGCTGCACTGGCCCCACACAAACTATGCTCACCTGGCCAGAAGCCAATCAGAACGAAATTGTCAAGGGGATTTATTTTAATTTAGAACCTTTCGGGTCTTTGGTGTCTGCTTTTGCTTTTTCTGTTCCACACATCATTTACACCTCTCAATGTGCTCCAGTAATCCGCATGTTTAAAACTGCACTCGTCCCTTTAGTTTAAAGCAGTGGTTTCCTGTTTTTAGGTCATAGTCCAAAATTTAGGGGTATAATGCGTAGTCTTTACAGTATTGCCCTGTGATATCGTCATACTCATGTAACAATCACCGATTCGGTTTAATATAACCTCCATATCCGTCTTAAAATACATCTCTATGTTTGAATGCTTGTAAATAGAGCCATTTGTTTTCGTTTCTAACGTTCCTAAATGTTACTTGTTCACATTTATAAAGGATTATATGACCTATGCGCCTTTTTTATGGTTTGAGAATTAAAGATGAACAGCTATATAGCAGAAAAAAAATCGGAATATATTGAGTATCAGCGCATCCAAATTATAGGAAGAAACGTCTGGCGTCTCGCAGTTTTGAGATCCTGGAAAAACATTAGTTTCGGGGATTGTGAGGTAAATTTCAGGTTAACACGGAAAAATAAAGAGGAGAAAGATCAAGGTGTATGGCGTATTCAATAGCACTAGAAGCGAGATGCATTCGATTGCACGGGCTGCTCAAGCGACTTCCTTCCTTCATTGAGCTAACGTTGCATTCTAGCGACAACTTTTGGTGCACTATCTTTTGAGTGTTCCACATGTCAGACATATAACCCTGGAGATTTCATGATGGATTCATACCATTTTGAATTACTGCCATTGCTTGACTTTGTTGCTGTAATACACTTAAAATCATCGGAAACTAGGTGATGTAATTTTACTTATTACTTTCCGTGGCAATTGAATGAGGGGCTCCGAGATATATTTACTATGAATTCAATGGAAATGACATCGGAAAGCGTTAAACTGCATGTTTAACGCATTGTAGTTAAAATAGCTAGAGAAAGATCATATTCTTCCAATCATCATAACAAATCAATCCGATCAGATTCGGCACCTTCTCCACACACAATCCGATCTCGCCCAGCCATTTCGCACAAGCCCCTTCACACATAATTAAATGATTAATTTAAACGGACAGAGGAGCTCGCCATATCCAGACCACCTTACCTCCACGGTCCGCCATACTGCAGCTGACTTTAATGTTGAGAGATCAATAACACCAGCTCCTCACCCGGAAACACATCCTATATGGAGTCAGAATGACGGACCCGGGCACCATGGTGATGGGGCCTGACACATGCCGTACAGACTGACGACTGCAGCATATTAACTCGGATTCGCAAATGTAATCGAAAACTACATCCCTGCTGGAATATACGTACAAACGAATACTTTACAGTCCTCGTCGAGCTACTTTGACACCTAATCCCAGCGAACGAATGCCATTTACACGTCACTCACTGACCAACTTTAGTTCCGGGTTTGGTAATGCCTCAACTGAAAAAAAAGCCTTTGTTTTCCAATCGACGGTCCATCATTGCATCTCCACAATCCTCTAGATCTTCTCAGTTCTTCACGCCTAACCTGGAAACCCGAAATATTAATATCTGGACATCCTAAACCTCACCTTTCCCTGAGATGTTCCTTATAAAATGTAACTTTTTGTTTAATCTTTTGGCCATCTGTCTTAATATCTTTATGTGGCACAATGCTAGCTTTAGTTTGATAATGTTCCTGTGATGCTCTTTGGAATGCATTAACGGTGTTTGTATATGCAGAGAAATAACCTCATTCCTTTAAGGTTATGAACTCATCCAGGGCTTACTAAATCGACTCTATGTCAGTAGAATTCCAATTGCTGCTGCTCAGGAATTACAGATATTTTTAAAAAAAAAATTAGAAAATCTGATCCATCTAAAATTAAAGATATTGTTTTAAAAGTATCAACATTTTCTTATGCCAAAATATCTAGCCTACAAGTTGTATTCATAAATTGCACTATTTGCTTCATGTGCAATCTCTGGTAATAATCTGCCCCTTAGCCATCAAGTAATACACAATAACATCGCTCTAAAGAAAAACGCTATGGCATCGATATTCTTTTATTGGATGTGGTCACCATTAGCAAAGTTAGCATTTTTCTATTGCCCTTGAATCAAGTGGCTTTCAAGGCCATTTCAGTAGGCCTAGAAAGCCAACTACATTGCTGTGGGTCTGGAGTCACATGTAGAAAAGACCAAATTATGTTATCGTTATATGCATTTTTATACATTATATTTTTCCACTTTAAAAATTCCTAGAAGAACAAGTATGTCACAATTCTTTCCTTTCACACTACAATCTTCCACTTTTATGGTAGGAGAGAACTTCCATGGAAATTCCAGTTGTCTGCTGTTTTAATTTTAAAAATTTTTAAAATGATTTTCTCACTCAAATGGATTGATAGTTTCTGTTGACCAATTTATGCCTTATCAAACCTGTTTTGTTTTTTGTTTTCTTGAATTCAGAATGGTCATTCAGTCAAAATCCAAGAACTCCCTCCCTAATGGCACCATGGGTTTGTCTACAACCTATGGACTGCAGCATCCAAGAAAGCAGATCACCACCTTCTCAAGGGCAACTAGGGATGGGCAATAAGTACTGGCCCAGCCAGCAAAGCCTGTGACCCACGAGTGAATAAAAAATAATTTCTCATTCAAACAATTGACCGTAACTGAACACAATGAGAGACAATCAGAAGATCTTCTGGTTGTAAGCCCTTAATTCTTTCGAGATGGGGATGCAATTAGTCTCGATCATATCAACACAATGTGCACAGTTACTCAATTGTTTTGAAATTAGATCAAAATGCCATTTCAAAAAAAGTTCCTGTTTTGGACCCTAGTTTGGTTTTGACACCACAAAGAGAATCTGCACATCCCAGCATACCTAAAATTAGTTGCTAGTAACAATTCTGATAGAAAGATAGTTGATCTAAAACTACTTTGTCATTTTCTACAGCTAAGAATTTCCAGTACTTCCCGCTTTAAGTAACAATTTAAAAGTCAAATTCATGCATGAATTTAAAAATATTTAAGAGTGTAATTGGCTGCAATTCATGCACAGCAACTCTGAGCATGCTCCTCTGAACCAGAAGCTTCTGGGTTGAAGTCGCACTTCAGAGACTTGACTACATATTTGATACTTTAATGTAATACCGAGAAAGTGCTACCTTTCAAATGAGACATTAAAAGGTGGCCTTGTTTTCTTCTGAAACGGACATAAAAGATTCTACAACCCTGTTTGGAGAACAGGAAGCAAGTTTTCCAATTTACAGCGATATTTATCCGAATAAAACTGATCATTTGTTCCATTATTGTTTGTGAGAACAGTCTATGTGCAAATTGCTTAAAATGTTTCTCTACATTAAAACAGTGAATGCATTCAATTGATTGTAAAGTGCTTTAGGATATCCTAAGGTCACAAAAAATCCTATATAAACTCAAATCTATTAGATTTTACATCAATGAAATCCAGAATAGATCTTGAATGTCTCAACTTTAAGTGTGCTGTTAGTCCTATCTTGTCTTTGTCACAGTACTTCTGTTTTTGAAGCAGCAATAAGCCACACAATTGCAATTACCAAAAGATTTGGAAAACATTTCTCATCAATCTCTTGTGAGGAAGCCCCTCAGTCAGAGGTGATGGCTTAGCTGTATTATTGCTGGACTGTTAAATCCATGATGCAAGGAATGTTCTGGGGACCCAGGTTTGAACTATTTGAATTCGATCAAAATCTGGAATGAGGAGTCTACTAATGACATGAACCCATTATTGATTGTCAGGAAAACACGTCTGGTTCACTAATGTCCTTCAGGGAAGGCAACTGCTATCCTCACCTGGTCTGGCCTACATGTCACTCCAGACCCACAGCAATTTGGTTGACACTTAACTGACTTAGATGGTATAGTGGACAGTGAAGAAGGTTACCTCAGAGTACAATGGGATCTTGATTAGATGGGCCAATGAGCCGAAGAGTGGCAGATGGAGTTTAATTTAGATAAATATAAGGTGCTGCATTTTGGAAAGGCAAATCATGGCAGGAATTATACACATAATGGCAAGGTCCTGGGGAGCATTGCTGAACAAAGAGACCTTGGAGAGCAGGTTCATAGTGCCTTCAAAGTGGAGTCATGGGTAGATAGGAAAGTGAAGAAGGCATTTGGTAAGCTTGCCTTTATTGGTCAGTGCATTGAGTAGAGGAGTTGGGAGGTCATGTTGAGGCTCTACAGGCCATAGGTTCAGCCACTTTTGGAGTATTGCGTGTAATTCTGGTCTCCCTTCTACAGGAAGGATGTTGTGAAGGGCTCAGGAAAGATTTAAAATGATGTTGCCAGGATTGGAGGGTTAGAGCTATAGGGAGGGGCTGTGTAGTCTGGGGCTATTTTCCCTGGACCATCGGAGGCTGAGGGGTGACCTTTAGAGGTTTAGAAAATTATGAGGGCCATGGATAGGGTAAATAGACAAGGTATTTTCTCCAGGATGGGAGAGTGCAAAACTAGAGGACATAGGTTTAAGGTGAAAGTGGAAAGATTTAAAAGGGACTTAAGTGGCAACTTTTTCACACAAAGGGTGGTGCATGAATGGAATGAGCTGCCAGAGGAAGTGGTGGAGGCTGGTATGATTACAACATTTAAAAAGGCATCTGGATGGGTATACGAATACAACAGGTTTAGAGGGAAATGGGCCAAACACTAGCAAATGGGACTAGATTTATGTAGGATACCTGGTCAGCATGGACGAGTTGGACCAAAGGGTCTGTTTCCGTGCTGTATATCTTGGACTTATTGGCAATTAGAGATGGAGGGCCAGCGACACCCTCGTCCTATGAATTAATTTAAAGGAAGGGTTGGGTTGACTCGACTTGGAGAATCAGAAAAGATTTGGCTTGGTTGTTGTTGTTCAAGTGCCCTTGGCGAAAGTTTAGAAGCAAATTTCGTACTCGCTCTCGGTTAAACAGGACCATTTAGACCAGAAAGAGAACCTAATATATACTTAAAAATGTTACATAATGATAATAATCAATAACGTTAAGTGCAATTGGTTGGCTTGGAATTTAAGTAATCTATTTCAAACATTATAATTGCTTCATCCGTTGTCCAAAAACATGCACATTGCACTATTTATTAAGCTATCTAAAACAATGTATTTTGCTGGAAAACATACCATACTGCCTACTGGTGTCACAATTAGACAATAACTATAGTGTTGATAAAGCTGACAAATAGTCATTATGTAATATTATCAGGACTTCAACTGAAATATTTGATCTACTTACTACAGCAGTGATTGTACTATTAGTTTTTGCTTCTAATTGGGAAGACACTGAAATAACAAACCGTATTAAACTTCAGGAAAGAAGCCTGATGATTTTTTAAAATTCATTCATGGGATGTGGGCATCACTGGCTGGACGAATATTTATTACCCATTCCTAATTGCCCAGAAGGCAGTTAAGAGTCATACATGTTGCTGTGAGTTTGGATTCACATGTAGGCCAGACCAGGTTAAGGACAGCAGTCTCCATCTCTTAAACATCAGTGAACTAGATGGTTTTTCCAACAATCAACAATGGTTTCATGATCATCATTAGATTCTTAATTCTAGATTATTATTGAATTTAAATTCCACAATCTGCCATGGCTGGATTTGAACATAGGTCCCCAGAACATTGGCTGGGTTTCTGCATTGATTGTCTGGTGATAATACCAACAGATCATTGCCTCCCCATCATACTACTAGTGAGGTGGATTAAGGTTGATGGGAGCAAAAAGCAGTGCAAACTAAAAACAATCTGCTAATAATGGGTCAATATTACTCAAGTTGGAGTAAAACTGGGCTTTGACACAGACTATGATAGAAAAGTGATAAAGGGTTGAGGTCAGTGAAGCAAACGACAACATTGGCCCAGAATAGGCCAAAAAATTACAAGAGATGCAAGGGAAACATGTATCAAATTGTACCTGACAGTGCTCCTATTCATTCCTTGGGGCGGTTACCCTATCAGAAGGTCTATGTACATAGAAGTTAAAGTTAATCAGCAGGACCGGGTTAAACAATACTAAAGGGAAAAAGATTAAAAAGAGGCAAATATGGACTGTTTCCAGTGTGGAATAGCTAACATACACCTGCACTATTAAACGTATGACAAATTTAAAACTTATAACATTTATATGAAGAGTCATATCTGGCACATGGTTGTTTTGGTCATGTTTGTTGAATTCAGTCATCTCAGCTTCAGGATTTCTCTGCAAGAGGTCCTCAAGGTTGTGTCCTAGGCCTAACTATCTTCAACTCCTTCATCAATGACTCTTACTCCAACGAAAGGTCAGAAGTGGGGATGTTTGCCGATGATTGCATAATGTTCAGTACATTTGCAACTCCTCAGATACTGAAGCAGTCACTGTTCAAATGCCACCAGATCAGGCCTTTATCTAGGCCTGGCCTTAAGTGGCAAGTAACATTCATGCCACACAAATGCCAGGCCATCTCCAATAATGGACAATCTAACCACCGCCCTTGACATTCAATGATGATATCATCATTGATCCTGGGGTCAGCATTGACCAGAAACTGGATTTGCCAGTATAAATACAATGGCTACAAGAGCAGGTCAGAGGCTAAGAATACTGCAGCAGTAACTTACCTTTTGATTCCCCACTGCCTGTCCCCCAATCTATAGGACACAAGGAAGGAATGTTGTAGGATCCTCCCCACTTAACTGGATGGGTGCAGCTCCAACACCACAAACTTGACACAATCCAGGTCAAAACAACCTGCTTGATTGACACCATATTCACAAGCATCTGCTCCTCCATCACTAACGCTCAGTAGCAGCAGTGTGTACTGTCTACAAGATGCACTGCAAAATTCCACAAAAGATCCTTAGATAGTCCTTTCTTAACCCATGACCTCGAAGGAAGAAGGGCAGCAGATGCATGGGAACACTATCATCTGCAAGATCCCATCCAAGCCACTCACCATCCTGACTTGCAAATATATTGCTGTTCCTTCCTTGCTGGGTCACAATCCTGGAATTACCTTCCTAAGGGCATTTTGAATCTACCTACAGCACAAGGACTGCAATGGTTAGAAAAGGCAGACCACCTTCTCAAGGGCAACTAGGGTTACGCAATAAATGCTGGCCAGCAAGTGTCACCCATATCCCACAAATAAAATACTTCACTGCATTAAAAAGTTCCTGTCCAAACGATTTGAGTTCCAAAGTCCTGCCCCATTTTTAGCTCCAAACAAGTTCCAATTAAGTGAAACATTGTTCCCTTTCTGAAATACACCAAAAACTTCAAAGTAAACATCTAATCAAATTAAGTTTTTGTTTTATTCTTTTGCAGGATGGACTAGCATTTATTGTCTAATCCCTAATTGCCCTCAAGGTGGTGATAAGCAGTTTTCAGTCAGTGGTGCAGGTACATTTACTCGGCTGGTAGGAAGGGTAACCCTGAATTTTGTCCCGGTGATTGTAAAACTACTGCTCCTGTCCATCTAGGCAATTGAGCTTTTAGGTTTGGAACATGCTATTGAAGGGTGATAATGATGACAGCTCCCCACTCCCATGGCAGGCAGAAGATCAAGTCTACTGGCAAAATGTCTCTCACTAAGAACACCCCAGTGAGATACAACCATACAGATGACAGACAAATAAAGTTAAATCACTGCCCACTGCCTGAACCTGATGTTTTAGTGGATGGCTAGTGAGGTATTTCTAGCCATCTGTTCCCATTGTCTTTTATACTGCTTTTGACATTCCTAGGTAATTTTGAAGAACAGTCACCTAACCAAAATGTTAAATCTGCTTTCTCTCCAGATGCTGCCAGCCCTGCTGGGTTTCTCCAATTTTGTTTTAGATTTCCAACATCTGCAGTTCTTTGGATTATTGAAGTAATTTTGAAGTACTGTTTCTTTCATCATTGGGAGCCACCTGATCTGATGAATATTTCCAGCCTTTAAAACTGTTTGAACTACAATTAATATTGTAAGTGTAGAAAAATACAACTGCCAATACACACACAGCAAGATCCTAAAACAGGAGAGATAAATGCTTGACTGTCTCAGTGGCAATATTTGAAATTTGCTGATACTGCCTACAGAATATTGCCAATTTCCATGCGCTTTGTCAAGGGCAAATAAAATAGGAGCATTTGCACAGTTTATCTGCAAAGTGCCAGCTAAAGAAGTCCACCAGCAACAGCACAGCTTTGCTAGGGTGGTGAGACCTTTGGAACAGAGGTTTGTTTTGAGCTGTGCCAATTGCCTCATTATTTCAACACAAATGCACTTTGCAAAAACTAAACCCATCAATACAGAACATTTAAAATCTAGATGCACTTTATGGAGATAGAGTATCCCAAGCCAGAAGTGCAAGCTTTGCATGATAAAAATGGTACAAATATATACCAAAATGAAAGCAAGAAAACAACAGTAAAACCACACTAATTCATAACATTTATCAAAAGAAAGACAATGGTAAAATATGTTTAATATCTTAAAGAATATGCTTTTACACTGATTTGCACATGAATGAATAGATGGAGCATCATATCAAGGACGAGTTAAGGCGGAGGCCCACGAAATTAATAGAACGACAAGAAGTCCATCTCTATCCTGCCACCCTAGGGAGGAGGGAGGAAAGAGGAAGACAAAACGGCATAAAACTAGTTTTGAAATATACATTTGGTCATTTCACTTTGGCTGAATCGGTCTTTTAGGTTTACGTAGACCTTATTGTCAAACCACAGGGTAGCTTTAGCTCGGAATTAAAGATATGAAATTTTAGGGGAACATTCCCGATTGCGAGGCGCTGCACGGGCTGGGAGCGACAGGAAGGCGGCGGGAGTGGGGGTGGTGAGGAGAAACATCAAAAATTCTCCAGTTCCACAAGGCGACTCCCCTTGCAGCGGTCCCATTTTGTACAGCGCCATCTCTCGTGGTTGTTTAATGTAAACAGTTGGAAGTATGAATAGTAGAAACCTTTAGAAGTCACCAAACTGCAACCAACATTGATTTACTTTTAAGGAGTGGGCGGGGGGGGGGGGTAGGAAATGGGAGACGGAATGCTTTTGTCACCAACAATTGCTTTGGTGCCGGGGCCTTCAAAGTTACTAAAAAAAATTTCTGGTACAGCTGCCGTCACGGACGTAATCAAAATAAAACCTGACTAACACACCCAAAGTACCCAGGCACCATACGTCTAAAGTTCCACTACCGACCTAAAATGGAGCAAAAATAAAGTTATGCGCAGCGACCATTCATTTTATACTGCGACAAGCCCGATCCTTGCTGACGTGTTCGGGGATCTGGACGATTGACAGTTACCAATGTCCAGTGGGAAGGCGGAGAACGCGGGCGCCCGCTCAAAGGGCGGGGAAGCGTTTTCGTTTGACAGCCAATGGGAGCCCGCAGCAGCCGGAAGGGGTGGGTCCACGCGCCCGTCGATCCGCAGCAGGGACTGACGTAAATCAACACAAAGGCACGTGGGTCGCGCTACCGCTGTCCATTGGTTGGGAGTGGGTTTGCTGTTTGTGCGCTTACGGCGTGGATTCGGTGTGACACAATTACAACTTTCTGCTTTGAAGTTTTTCTCTTTTTTTTGCTAATATTATTTCAATGCTGTTTTAATTTTATCTCCCCCCAAACAAGGACTCCAGCACGTGCATGTTAGAAAAGAAGCAAGATCTTGAAGGATGTGAAAAAATAAAAAAAACTCCACGGCAATAATAAAAAATAGCAAAAATAAATTACAAACATTTTTTTTCATCTCTGTCTGTAAGCCCATGAAATCCTGTGGAGTATCATTCGGTGATGAGGAAAAGAAAATGGCGGCGGGAAAACCGAGTGAAATTGAGGATGACTTTCCAACTCTGACGCCCCAGGAGAAAGACTCTATTGCAACTCTCGATAGGTTAGAAAATTATGCAAGTTTTGTGTTGTGTTTTTGATTAAGTTTTAGTGTTTATGCATAAATTAAAACATATTTTAACGTATGTCATCTGTCTGTCGCTATCGCACAGCCGAGTGTTTGGATTTCTGAAGGTTCATGAAGATGGCGCCAGAACGAAGGCCTTGTTAGTAAAGGTAAGAGCTGAAAAAAAATCAGGCTATTTGTTTTGTCCTTATGCATTTTGGTACCTTTATAGTAAAGAAGGAGACATACGTTATCTGTCCTGTAACAATAAAGCAAGATTTGTGGAAGCGTTCCCACTTCACGGAGGGTAGGCTTGTCTTAATGAGGGTTTTTCCTCTATAATAATGTGTACGCTAACTTGAAAAGCAACGGTGCAAATAAGTAGAGACGTTTGCAAATCATTGATCGTCAAATGTGGAGGACATGTCTTTTCGTTTTTGTATGTGGTACATTTTTCGCTTGCCCCTCTGTGTGCCCAGCCTCTCTAGCCTCCAGGCTCTATACTATGGGTTTTGTGTTGTGTATGGGTTGAAGTTTCGCTCCGCGTTAAAAATGGCTGCTTCTCTCCAAGATGGCGGGATAGGGAGGATAGAGGAAAAAATAGTGAGTGATTGGTAGGGGAGGACAACAAAAAAAAATTCGGGCCAATTTAGTCAGTAACAGATCTGTAATCGGCATTGTGCAATGTGAAGGAAATTAAGTCCAGAAAAAAACGCTTGCTGACAGGATTGTTTATCCGTTTTTTAAGAAAAATACAAAAGTGATTCACTCAACCTGTAGCATCAAGCAGTTAAATGTGAAACATTTATAGCTCGTACATCCAGAATTTGTGACATTTCACTAAACGTACATCTTTTAAGTCACATACACGTTTATCGGTTGCAGTTGCTCAGATGATGGGGCCATACTTTTTTTCAGATAAACTTTGTATATATATATAAATGGGTATTTGCTGGAGTCTAATTATTTATACTGCAGAATACACGTTTTCAAAATTAACTTATCGTTTCTTTTCATGTACGTTGTGAAGTCTGTTAATGTTGAATGTTTTTGGCATGTCCAGTCTCTCTCGTTTTTAATTACATACTTGAAATGTTTCATCGTGTTTGGGATTCCATGTTCATGTTTTTAATCGGGCGGTGGGGGTAAAACCCGACTTTACGTAAGAGTTGTAATGCTGTCCGACATGCTCCTATCGAGTTGTAATTGCTTCAATTAGTTCAGATTTTACATAAACTGTTTTTGTTCCAGTGTATTTTTGTAGCATGTTGATTTTACTCAGACGTTACTCATTTATTATTATATGCTTATTATTTGAGAAGCATCACCAGTTTTTCACGCACTAGATTGAGGTTTTGAGTGTCATCTTTTAACTGCAACATGGTGTAATGATATAACTCATTATTTTTAAGTAATTTTAATTAGTCAACACAATTGCTGTTGTGAATCTAAGCAAGAAACAGTTACCTGCCCATGATAGCGGTGAGTCAAAATTTGGCAGGTTTGTAGGTTGGACAGCATTGAGGTCTAGTTGGAAGCATTTGACTTTGAAAGCAAATTCTGTTTGGCAGTGTTTTTTTGAGACTCCTTAGATGTGATTCATTATATTGAGACACAAACCAGTCAGTAGCGGATGCAAAGTTAAATGTCTTGTGTGTTGGCAAACAAAACTCCCCTAATATTTGTGTTCTGGATTGGGTTCTGAGTTTGATCTTTGAATTCGTACCAAACATACTGATAATCAGAGTTGAGATGGTGAATGGGGCGTTATGTATATCTTTGAAAATTGTCCTAAATCCAAACCTTCCAGTGACTCTACTTGAAAGTGTGTTCTTTGGATGTATGATGAGGAATGGATAGAAGCTGTATTGTGATTTTGTTAGTCATACATTTGGCAAAGATGTTCCCCTCCAAATCGTGTGCCGTCCTGACTTGGAAATATTCTGCTGTTCCTTCTTTATCACTGAGTTAACATCCTGAAAGCCTAACAGCATTGTTATCTACCTTTACATTGATTAATTGCAGTAATTCAAAATGACTTACCTTGACTTGAGAATAATTTAGGAATAAGCATTTAACGCGGGCTTTGTTAGTTACACCTACGTCTCATTGAACTAAAAGAAAATAATTGATCAGACTTGCATGTGAGGAATGGTGTCAAAATGCTCCCTTGGAATCTGTCTCCCCGAATGGAGTACATGTCTTAACAGTAGCTGTGAGGAATAATGATTTTAATAAAAATCATTTAGAATTTTACATAATCGACTAGCTGCATGTTCAGTACAAATTTATCGCAGTTAATAAATTGCTGTTTAGTGATTTCCAAAATATACTTCTGGTAGACTAGTCATTCATCATTTAATGAGTTGTCCAATATTTGGAACTTAATGGTCAATGTGTAATCCTAATCTTCGTAAGTAACCTGTTGTAAGTAGCTGTGGCTATTTACTATGTCATTGTTGAGTATTGCTCTTAAAAATATTGCAATGTGCCCGTAAGCTTGATTCAGATGATATGAGTTTACTCATGAGAGATCTTAGAGTTGTTATTTTTAATTTTGCAGAGTTTAGATGGATTTCTGAAAAATAGCTGGCATTACCATTGCATACTTCGTACTTTTTTAAAGTTTGTAAATATTTCCAATGACTTGTAATAACTCCTCCATGCACAATATCACACTGATAGCTTTAACAATATTCAATGTTTACTCCAAACAATTCTTTTAAATATACCTATGTTTGCTTTGTTTAAGTACCTTCTGGAATATTTCTATGTGTGTGTATTTCTATAAAAATTCCTATTCTATGTGCATTTGCCTTATGGCTTAGTGAGTACCTGACAGAAGCAACTGAAGAATGAAATCCAGGTATTTTAATAGAGATGAAGGGATACTCTTCTTCTAAATGACATGTGGCTTTTACTTGGAAGGAAGCCGTCATAACTCAATGCAGAAGTATCTAGTTTAAATTGTAGTTTTTGCAACTAATAATCCGGATTTAAATTTTGCAAGTCACCGACAAGGCTCAGCTGGTCATGCTCTCGTCTTTTAGTTTAGAAGATTGTGGGTTAATTTCTAGTCCAGTGACTGGAGCATGGAAATCTAGCTGGTTGTTGAGTCATAATGGTCTTTTGGATATCAAGCTGAGACCTGTCTGCTCTGATCATGTGAGACAGAAGATCCCATGGTAGAGATTTGACCATCAGTATTTATTTCTCAATCAAATTTATTAAAAAAAAATTGATGCCACTCTTGTACAGCTAGTTTTGGATCTTTAAGATTCTTGCAGTGCAGTGGTAGTCTCTACTTCTGAGCTAGGAGGCCTACATTCAGGCCCACTTGTTCTAGAGGTGTATCATAATATCCCTGGACAGGTTGGTTATTTAAAAAAAAACTTGTTTTGCGTACATACTTATGCAAATTAGCTGTGTTTTCTATATTACATAAGTGACTACACTTTAGTGATTGTCTAAAATGCTTTGGGATGTCTTAGGGTTCTGGAAAGAACTACTCAAGCCGGGGTCTTTTTTTATATTAAAAAAAGCCCTTTTGGCGATTTTCACTAATGTTCTTAATTCCTGTTACTGGATAATTCAAATGTTCAAGCAGCATTCAACTTTTATTGGAGTAAATTGTAGATGTTTTTTCAAATGTCAGCAATTATTATCTATTCCTAATTGCTTTTGAGAAGATGGTGGTGACCTGTTATCTCGCATATAACTGCATGACTTACTAGGGCATTTTACATTAAAACTTGGAGCCAACCATATTGCTGATGGTCTGGAGTTGCACACAGGCCAGACCAGATTAGGACAGCGGGTTTTCTTCTCTACACTGTAATCGGGTTGGTTTTGACAACAATTTAGGAATTTTGTAGTTATCATTACTGGTACTACTTTTAAAATCCTTGTTACATGCCTAATAGATAAATTTCTGTCTTGGGCTTGCTGTAGGGCTTCACCAAGGCTCAGCGCAAGAAAAGAATCAAACTAGTCAGACCACTCAATCTTTACTCGGGCGCAACAAATGCAAACCCAGGTTTGTTGATGCTGAAAAGTTTGCCTTGCTCACATCTGGCCGGTGCCAAACTTGGGAGAGCCGTAGTCTGATATCTTATTTGCTGAATCAGACTTTACAGGCAATGTCTCAGACACCAGCATCACCTATCCCTGAGTTGGTGGGACACTGATGTACAGTTGTGTGGGATCAGTCCGGGAAGGCTGGATCGTTAACTCCAGATTTCATATCTCATGGCATCAAATTAAACACTGGGAAGGGAGTATGCTATTGTTTGTCACTGCAGCCTCACCTTGGCTGCTGAATTCATACGCCTCCACGTTGAATACAAGTTGGAGGAAGCTCTGAGAGTGGGAAGCAACTTTTCTTCTAAACTGTGCAACTGCGCACCAATGCAGCCGCTCCAAAATTCTGTGCACAGAGAGTCATGTTGGCATGTCAGTTGTGGCATTGACTTCTGGTTCTGCATGTTGCTGCTGTGCACTGGACTTTGTGGCATGCGCAGCTGGCAAGAAAGTTTGAAGGAAAGCTGGTAATGTGGATCGGAATTCACCCCTGCTGGCCGACCTCTATCCATGAACAAGAGTGGCACAGTAGAACCACTATTGTCTGAACTGGCCAGTCCTAAAGTCAAAGCTAGTTGGAATTATACCTAGTCTAAAGGAAGATAATTGTGGATGTTTGAGGTCAGTATCACTCGCAGATCATCGCTGAGTACCTTTTGTATAGTATTTGAGGCCCAAGCATCTTCAGTAACTTCATTAATGTGCTTTCCACCATTTAAGGTCAAATGATGACTTTAATGATTGCTTAATGTTCACCATTTGTGCCTTGTCATATATTGAAGCAGCATGTGTGCTTATGCAGCAGTTCTGAACAACATTTAGGTTTGGGCTGATAGTGGTTAGTAGTGTTCGCCACCCAAGTTGTTTTTTAATTCACTTGGACATAGGTATCACAGGCCAGCCAGTATTTATTGTCCATCCCTAGTTGTCCTTGAGAAGCTGATGAGCTGTCATCTTTGAAATGCAGCAGTCCTTGTTCAAGGGAACGCCCATCTTCAACAGGGGAGAATCTGATCATGTCCACTTAACATTGAATGGCACTGCCATCACTAAAGCCTCTACTAGAACATCCCAGTGGTAATCATTGACC